ATCCAATAAACGTTTGATAAACGACCTCTAAGTTTGTAAGATTTATTGGCTATGTAAATAACTATGCATCTATCTATATAAGAGTGAATTGAAATTTTGGTCCTTGTGGTTTATTGTTTTTCTTAGATTGGATCCTTACAGAAAAATATTTTAAGGAATTCTCCATGTATGCAAAAATGTTTGGTTTTGGTCCTTCCCACTAACAATGTTAAAAAGACCTGTTATGTTAAATCAGTAGGCATCACGATCTTTTTCATTTTTCTCATATTTTTCTTTAAAATTATAATTAATTAACATAATAAATTCGGTATTAATTAATATATATATATATATATATATATATATATGAATAATATCCTTCCTCACTTGCTTGAGAAAAATCATAGGTGCTATCACGATGACCTCCATGACTCCATCTCCTTATTCCTTCCATTTGTTTTGGTCGTCCCCTTCTCACCTTTCAAGCATCCTTCTGTCCCAACAGCGAACACCCATTGTGTAACGACCCAAAATCTGAAAAATAACGACAAATAATATAAATAGCCAAACCGACACCAAAGATTAACGAGCAATCAAAAATTTCAATTACATTTCAAAGGTTTGTAGCCGAAACAACATCTACAACTGGGATTTAATATTATTGAACTAAAGGTATGTGTAACACCCCTAAAATAGGAGCAAATTTAAATTGAAAAATAAGTATGGAAATGATACTTGGATAAATATAATCACCCAATGTATGAGGAAAGTGTAAGAGTTTACAACAATGTATAAGAATGGTAGCTAACAACCTAATAATTTAAACCAATCTAGGCAAACATTAACATCTGGTGTCACTACTTTCACCAAAAGATTTATAATCAACGTGTGACGCTATGTAATTCAAAAAGTGTCATCCCAAACTGCCCCTAATAGCAAGTCATGCGGCTTTAGCCGTAGACTTGCCCGCATGGCTACCCGCGGAACTCACTGTCCCAGCCTCCATCTTCACCTTTTTTCATGGTTTACCATGGTTCAACTTAGCCTCAACATATAACCACAACAAGTACCAAAATGAAAGGTGTTACAGGGTCAAGATTCTCATAAAAATTCCAAAATGTTATGATGAAACTTAGGGCATTACAGTATGCCTGACTGAACCACTAACCAACTCTAAGAGGAGCATTATAGCTTGTCCTTTTCCTAGGAAGAACTCTCCACATGAAACTTACCTGGAATTGGTTTAGTTTTTGAAAAACGAGGGTTAGACCAAAAAATCTAATGAAATGCCTTACTTTCACATTAGTTGAGGAAAACCATTCATTCATAAAGTCATCAATGTATTAACTTCCAAGAAAATATCCACATACAATTCATGGACTTTGCACAACATTCGTAGCTATATTGTCACTCCATTGTGACATATTCATATAAGACTCATAGTAGATGTTTGTCCAATGTGCTCAAGAAACTCATTCAAGGCGCGTGCACACACACACACACACATATATTATACATATATATATATATATATATATATATATATATCACTCCAAGAGATTCCACTACCTGTACATTTCCAAAAAATCGCCTAAACTCAAGGGTTTCTCATCCAAGCTTCTCATATCGATATCCAAGACAAAAAATCAGATAATCAATATGTAATCCTTTGAAAACACCTTCCTTAACAAGGTTTGATCATCAAACAAATCCCAATCCATAGAACAAATCCTGACTTGATTTACTGAATCCAAAAGAAAAAAATGTCTAAAAACTTGCAGGATGCATAAACTCAATGATGTCAATCTACCACTGAAATTAATATTTCAAACCTCCATTAATAATAAAATCAAAACAAGGATTCTACCATAGATTTGCTCTTTCCAAAAATGGAAGATAAATCAAAAAGAGAACCTTAACTTAGATGAAGAACACCATTAATGGGAAAACTTAAACAATAAAGAATTAGAAATTATGTCTATAAAGTAGAATCAAGTTACATAAATGTCCCCTAAAATATCAAGGTGTTTACACTTAATTTCCCAAACTTCCACACTTTAATAAGTTTAGGACAACGGTTTATTACACACCACAACCAGACCAATACATCTCTGGCCTCCAAGCAGTCCTTGCCCTACATCGATCTCCTACTTGTAACCACCGTTGTTCTTGTGAATCTCCACCATCGATCTTCTACGAGCACTACCATTGTTGATATCTCCTCCATCAGTCTCCTTCAACGTCTACCAAATCAGTTTGCAACAATATCCCTCATTGAAAAATAACACAGACGTAGGGACAATGATAGCCATTTACGGTGAACCTATAACCAAAAATCCAGAACTCTTTAAACGGTGAGGGGAGTGTATCTCAATTGTTAGGAAGGGAGACATGATGGTTGATCACCTACTGACTGTGATGCTGGTCTCGATTTTGTTGGGCGAGGGGGTTCACCAATAATGGAGGTCGTCGGTAGGAATGATTGTTTCGTGGGAGAGGGGGAAGCGACATAACATGTTTTTTTGTTTGTTGTCTGAGGGGGAGGCAGACGACAAGACCTAACAGGGGTTGGATTGTTTCCATTTGTTTTTATTCTATTTTTTAAAAGAAAGTGAGAAAAACATGAAAAGAACCAAAATGTTCTTACTTAATGGTTGGAATTTAACTCTTGTTAGTGGCAGGGACCAAAACCAAGAAAAATGCATACCATGAGGGTTTTCTTGCAATAATTTTTACCATAAGGACCAAAATTACAATTTACTCTATAGAATTATATGTCGACTAGATGTAGCCCTACATTAATTGGTTTGGTGAACACCGAAAAGATTCTCGTTGGTCCAAAAAGTCACATTTTGACCGTGCTTCATGTGTTATAGATTTTTGTATGGACCAATTTACCCTTTATTTAATGTTTTATAAAATGTCAGATTTAAAAAGATGTTTGGTTAGATATATTAAATAATAATTAATAATAATTAAAATAAAATTAATTTTTAATTTTATATAATATAATAAGATCATTCCCTCGTAAATCCAAGTTTTAGTTCTAGGTTAAACTGAAAAGAGTGAAAATTCAATAATCCTTATTATTTTTATCTTAATTCTCATTTTTTATTTCTCTCTCGAGATGATATTAATTAATGAAAGGAGCAAACAATTTTAATGAAAAATAAAAAAATCCATTTATATTTTTTTATAAATTATACATTAACTAAATTACAATTTTATCCTTAATAACATAATTCTTTTATCTCATAATTTATAATGAGAAAAACATACACTTATTTTTAAATAACCATTTATTTTACAACAAACTAAAATTGAAAATATAAAAATAATTACGGTTTTCATCCCTATAATTTGTCAATAATTTTGATTTTTCTCGTTATAGTTTAGAAATTACGATTTTAGTCCATATGGTTTACAACTAAATTTCTATTTTTAAATACAATTGACTAAACCAGTAAAAAGCTTTAAATAATACGGATCAAAACAACAATAAATCATAAATCTTAATCATAAAAACGATAATGAATTACGAACCATAAAATCAGAAACGACAACTGCAATCCACCGAAATAAAAATCATTAAAAAAACGTACACGAAATTTACATCAAATATAAATATTTACGTTGAAAAAGAAGAAATATTTAATAAAATGGACAATAGGTTGACACGTGTTTAAATAGAGACAAAGGTTTCACGGATACCAACCTCACCCCAAAAAGTCTACTCGATTCCCGCAGATTCCATCCCAATTTCACATAACAAAATTCATAATTATAGTTTTTTTTACACATTCACATTAAAATCCCACGATTGTATCATAATAGTCACATAAATAAGTAGTTTTGTAATTTTTGTAAATAGATAATAAATAAATGTATATATAAATTCATATATATATATATATATGTATATATATATGTTTGACTTATTACTAAAAAACATTTGTGTAATATAGTATGATACATCTTGATCTTAATGTTTTGTTTTACTTTTTGTTTTTGTTGATTTTATAATACGGTTTTGTGTGGTTTTGATAAATGATAATGTTTTCATGTTTAAATAAAATAAATTGAAATATCATAAAAAAATTGATAAAATATATCGAAATTTATATCAAATTAACTATTTAAAAGTTCACGTTTTTTGTGTAATTTTTTTAATTCAAATTTTTATTACAATTTAATTTAAATTTAATAATTACAGTTTTTATAAATATAGTAATTAAATGTTATGTTAAAACTCAATAATTATTCTAATTATATTTTATATTTTTATATTTAAAATAAGATATTTATTTTGTATTTGATTATGTTTATTTGTACTTAATTATACAAATTCAAAATGAAGTTTTAATAATTTGTAGTATTTATGTACAATTTACTTGTAATATTGATTTAATAATATGCATCAATAAACAGTACTTGATGCATAAAAAATGGTTTTTAAAATTTCTGATGAAATTTTTGTTTGAGCTATTTTCAATTAAAACATATAATATACAAACTTTTTGAGCTATTTCTTCCTATAAACAAAGGTAAAATTATCATTTTTCATATATTAAAAAACACAATAATTACATGTTCCTAAAACTATACGTCTTTCTGCTATGAACATTTATCTTAATAGGAAGGAAATAAATTTTTGTGATAAGCTTAACAAATAATACTTTGAATTCGTTCATTAAATATCGCTAACTTGAGATTATAAAAATACGCTAAATAGATTCACATTGTGAGACAAATACATGTAAAATAGATGGGACGTCGAAACTACCACTTTAGATCCCGTGTTCCCCTTGAGACTGCTCGAGGCTCGAGCTGTGCAAAAAAACCCGAACACATAGAAGAACGGCTGCTTTCGTGAAAACTAAAGTGTAGTTAAGTCATTTCATCACGAAAAGTCAGATTTTCGTTTCCAATTTTCTTTTTTCGCACTCAACACCGATCAAAACAAACCAAGAAATGCGCGGAATCAAACAAACCCGTGTTACAAAAGGAAAAACTCGTAAAGATTGCTATGGAATCAACAATGACTAGTCGTGAACGTGTAGTGTAAACTTACATGAATGGACAACATTATACACATCTGAATTGGTCAGCTCTCAATCTACTGCTGTTCTTGCCTTTTCCATTCAGATCTGTTTGTCTGAATGCTACTTTCGTACCCGCTACTATCACCCGACTCGATATGCCGTTTCTCAAACGACCTCTCCCTTCCGGTTTCCCGACTTCCTCTCCTTTCCTGCAATCAAGAACCCAAGATCATGGTCAGTTTGCGTTTCTAACTGGGCACACCTCGACTAATCCCATGGGGCCCTGAAGATAACAGTCTAAATTAACCCCATTAGCTTTCAAGAGACACGAATTGGCATGAGGCCCTGAAGATAACAATCAAGGTTATTATGGATTTTGTCAAAAAGGAATGCATTCGGAACACAAACTTACGTCTCTAAACGGAAAATCGTCTGCCTCAAGCATGTGAATCACGTGACCCATCTTCGGCCGTTTTTGAGCACTTGGATCCACGCAACGTAAAGCTACCAAAAGGACACGCTTCAGTGCTCTCGAAGAAGGTTTCTCGGGTATTTTAGGATCCAAAACCCCCTCGGCATTCCTATTTGTTACCATCGTTTTAAGCCAATCGACAAGATTTACCTGTGTCGTTCTCATTTAGAATCCAAGTAAAAGAACAAAAACAACATCGAAAAGAACATAATAATCAACACGAACCTCTCCTGGAGGCCGGCTATAGTCGACAGGGTTTCTACCGCTAATTATCTCCATAATAAGGATCCCGAAACTGTATACATCACTTCTTTCATTCAACATGCCCGTACTAGCATACTCGGGAGCAACGTACCTATTTTGAGCAATATCGGAAGTTTTTCATCTACTTGTATTATTTGGAAACATAAAAGACCATAAACATGAAGAAATAAACCAAACTAAACGAACCCAGTATATTCCACAGGAGGTCGGGAATAGGGAGGGTAAGATGTACACAGAACCAACCTCTACCCTCAAAGAGTAGAGCGGCCGTTTCCGTGAAAATCCCCGGTTTGTGAACGTCAAATACGATAAAATTTTGAAAAAAACTGGTAAAACATGAAGAATTAAACAACATACCCAAATGTTCCCATGACTCGGGTGGTGACATAACTCCTTTCGGAGCCCAAAAGCTTGGCCAAACCGAAATCTGAAACCTTGGGGTTCCATTGCCTATCGAGCAAAATATTACTCGATTTGATATCACGATGAACAACTTTGGGCTCGAGTCCTTCGTGCAAATAGGTCAACCTATAAATAGCCATAAAGGTTTCAGATTACTTAAAAAAGATTGAAAATTTTGTAATAAGAACATACCCTTTTGCTGTCCCGAGTATAATGTTCATTCGTATCTCCCATGTAAGCGGGCTAGTCGAACCTACATCTCCATGAAGCCATTGTTCTAAGTTCCCGTTGTCTACATACTCGTAAACGAGGATCCTAAACAAGATGATAACCTCATCATACGTGATCTATTGATCTAAGTTACGCAGAAAATGAAGGCCGAATAACGGGTTGTAGGGTACCTGTGAGCTCCTTCGACACAAAAGCCGAGCAACCTGACTAGATTCTTATGGCGTACGCGTCCAATTGCTTCTACTTCAACCTTAAACTCCCTCTCGGCTTGTCCTCTGTTTCAAGCAATTTGGAAAACAAATCAACAACTTATTTGACATTAGAAAATAACCCTGTTTTGTTAGCCATAAGCCACAGTAGCGTTTCAATAAGCTCCACAGCGTCTTTTTTTTTTTTTCCAAGTAAGCACCCTATATTTTTACGTCATTTTACATTGTTATCTAGCTTATAATTTTTTTTTACCAAACGTAACTAGCTTATCAGCTAACAGCGAAACAATGTCGAGCCCTAGCACATCTCGATGGAACCTTGGCCAAGCCAGGCTGAACCTTGGTGCACCAAGAAGGTCAGGGAACAAGCACATTGTGCATCAAGCTTCAACCAACAAAGTCATATCTCCCTAACCCTAGCAAAGCCAGGCGGTGCACCAGGATCATGGTTCGATTACGGTTCTATTCTTTAATCTTTATCATAATTCGATCAAATTGTGGGACAAATTGAGCAAAATTGATTGATATATGCTACATAAACCTAATCAAGACTCGAATATGATAAACCCAAAAATTTCTAACAACAGAAACCATGTTAAAAACATTAAATTCATCAAATAAATGTTTATATACATATAAATTGTGGGATTTGAATTTGAGAATTGAACCTGTTGTTGAGCAAATTCTTGACAGCAACTGTGCTTTTATCCACCAAAACACCACAATAAACAATCCCATATCCACCTTCGCCAATCACATTCTCATCTGCAAACCCGTTTGTGGCAATTTCGAGCTCTCTAAGAGTATACCAATGGCCCCAACCCAAATGGGAAACCTCGGGTTGAACCGATATAATTGACTGTTGATCGCCCGACCCGATTTCATGGGACGACCCGCCACCACCTGGGTAAGAAATACGGTGCTTCTTGCCTATCTCTATCTGAATCTTCTGGTAGCCATTTAAATTACTCTCATCCTCTGCATGTCTATCAACTACAGCCAAAGAATCTGATTCGTGAAACGGGCTTTGACCCGGAGGATGCTGATGCTGTTGTTTGGGGGTTTCTTGGACATGGGTTCGGGTCGGGTCGACTCTGATTTCACGAATTTCTTTGGAGATGTTTGGAATTGTGGGTTTTTGAGGCAAGGTTTTGGTTTTCTTGCAGGAATTGTTGTGTTTTGAGGTGAAATAGAGAGAAATTAAGAACATCAAGATAACAATGGTGGCTCCAACGCAAATTCCAACCACAACCCATAATCTTAAACCAAAAATAGAGGTTTTCTTGGAGAGCTCATCGTTTAAGAAGCCAGACATTTGAATTGTTGTGGTTGAAGGAAGTATGTTTCTGGTGGTAATTAGTACGATGAAGCTACATGACAAAGAGACAATTCGCAGAAGATAATGAAGAAAGAGAGACAAAAAAAGGAGGCTATGGTAATGGTAGTGGTGGTAGTATTGATGGATAGAAAAATGAGTGGGGATTTCGGGGGGTTGGGGGTGGGAAGGTCTAAAGCTGGACTGATGGGACTTGTACAAATTTAGCAACCCCACCCTTGCTGCTTTTATTTTTTAATTCTAATTTTTATTTATAATTTAATATATTTTATTTCTTTAGAGTTTATCATCATAAATGTTTCAATAGACTTTAAAATTTTGTCCAAAAAATAACACATTTTGTCTTTGAAGATTCTAAAATACAAGATTAGAATCAGGGTGGTGTCTGATTGGTTTGAGTTTGGCTTTAAAGATCAAAAGTACCAGGAGATCCCATGTTCAAATCTAAGAAGAAATAAAAATCCCCTTGTGACCACGGAGGTTCAAATGCGGTGACTCCGAACTATCTGCAAAGTAGGTGGTCATGCTGGTATTAATCGGCTCGCATAACGGGTTGGATATCCAAATTAATTAAAAATAAATAAAAAAATACAAGATTAGTCCCAATATGATATGTTCATCTAACGATCATTAAAGAGTTTTATTAAGAGGCATTTTTGTTCTTTTTCTAATTTATTTGTCTCTTACTCCATCAAAAATTGTACGGACCAAAATTGTAGTTTAGGAGGGTTGTTTGCCAGTTGTTGAATGGTTTGGTGCAGAATAAATACGTGGTCATAATGATTAAGAGGTTTTCATAATATAGTGCAAAATGAAATATAATTATTTGGTAATTGTTTATAATGAAACTAGGGCGCTGAATGGTTAAGTGAGACCCATGATACAAAATTATTTAGAGAGTTTTAGAATCATTAAGAAGCAGACTATTTTTTGCCAAACAAAATGCATCTCTTAACGATTCAGAAACTACCTCTTAATGATTCAGAAACTACCTCTTAATGGAACTATTAAGAGGTAAACAAACAACCAATTATTCTCTTACTTTTATGTATTTTTGTTCTTTTTTTTTTGTAATATTTTAATGCTATACATAGAGAGTTCGTTTCAAATGCAACTCATCACATTTGTACAACCAATGCAACCTAATAAATTAAGATGTTTATGGAAATGATGAGAGTTCATTTATTATGATTTGAACATTTATGAAAGATGAACATAGTTGATTAATTATGATCAATACTTTATATTAAAAAACAATTAAATGGACGGTTGAGATTGAATTGTATTAGTTATACAAATGTAAAAGGTTATATAATAACTCATATATATATATATATATATATATATATATTTATATATATATATATATATATATATATATTTATATTATATTATATTGACACATGGTTAGCTAATATACTTGGTTATTGCTTTTTCCTAAGATGCTATATGGCTAGACTTTTCCTTTCTGCTTCTTATTGGTTGGTTTGCCTTTTTCTAAGACATGATATATTATATTATCAAAAACATCTTCACAAATAATGTTGCACAAGTACCATACCACTACTAAAACACATATACATATACATATTAGTGATCACCAAATCTGTCCGGCTCGGGACCGTCGGAGGACTGGACCAGTAAGAACCGGTTACATATGATATGGGTGGGGGTAAACTACACCAAACCTCACACTTGACCTTGTAACATGCTTCATGGTCATGCCCTTGTAAACAACATACTTTTCCTATGTTTAATTCAAATTTAATTTCTAGAAAGTCCTTGGATTAATACTTTCAAGGTCACACAACTTTAGTCCCTCATTTGGACTAATCATTACAAATAGGCCCAACTTAAGGGTGTTACATTCTTTCTATAAAAATGGACATGTATTATGTGTGTGACTTGTTCTAAGTGTGTTATGTCATTTAAATTGAAGTTATTTTTATTATCTCTCTTTTTTTGAATCCAATTAGGTTTTCCTCCTCAATGTTTATTATATTGTTTTGTAATGACTGTGTAATAGACGTGAAAGGATGATCATATTCACTTAGGGCACGTTTGGTTTGAGGGATTTGGAGGGATTTGGAGGGATTTGGATTTGAAATCCATTCCATCCCTTGTTTGGTTTGCTAAATGGGTTGGATTTGGAATCCCGTCTACTTTTTAAAATCCCGTAAACAATGGATTTTGAAATCCATAGTAAATGGGCTGGATTTTGAAATCCAATCCGGGCTCCTCTTCTCCACGCTGCTACGAACTTCTCGCCACAAACCTTCCAATCTGTCGCCCGTCTCCACCATCTCCCCAGCTCTCGTCGCTTTCCCCGCTGTTCTCTCCTACTCTCTGCTCTTCAACCTGCTTCAACCGGTGCWCATCAAATCGCCTCTTCGTCTCGCTTGAGCAGGTAATAAGACTTCCCTTTCCAATCTATATTCTTGGTGGTTGTAGCTTGAATCTTTGAAGAAGAGGCTAGGAAGAAATTTTAGGGTTTCGTGCAATAGCTTGAATCTTTAAACAGAAACCGTGATTTGCAATGATACTGTTTGCACCAAAGCTTGACCTAGAATTTGGTTTGTGAAATGAGATTCTTTTGGCCGAAAAATCTAGGCATTTCCTTGCTCTCTCAATCAAATAAAGCAAGAAACCAGCTCTGTTTAAAATTTAGATAGAACAAATAAAAGTTAAAAGAGCTTTCACAAAACTCATTTTCTCATTAGGATTTCGTGTAATAATTTCATCCGACAACATGAGGGTAGTTACAGAACTCATTTTTCTGTAATAGAAACTATGGAGTTTGGACATGAACTCATTTCACAGAACTCATTTTTCTTACTGACTTGAGGGTAGTTACACCAATGGCAATTTGCAAAGCTTCTAAATGTGGGTAATTTTTGGTGGGTAAATATGTGGTTTTGAAAGAACAAGTTGGTAGTTAAATGTGGGTAATTTTTGGTGGGTAAATATGTGGTT